CCACTGCACTCCAGTCTGGGTGACAGAGTGAGACTCCAACTCAAAAAAAAAAAAAAAAAAAAAAAGAAAATAACAGACACTAAGGACACCAATAAAGGAGGAGGTTGGGAGGGGTGTTAGGGTTCAGAAATGACCTATTGGGTACACTGCTCACTATATAGAGAGTGGACCATCTGAGACCCAATTTCTACCACTACCCAATATGTGCATATAACAAACATACACTTGTACCCTCCAAATCTAAAATAAAAAAATAACAACAATATGCACCCCATAGTATGTACAATTATTATGTGTCAATTAAAAAAATAAATTTAAGGGCAAACTCCTTTGGGTCCCCTCCCACTGTGGGAGCTTTTCTGTCCTCTCAATAAATCCTGCTTTCTCCAAAAAAAAGATTTATTTTGAAAGAAAAAGGCTGGGCTTGGTGGCTCAGCCTGTAATCCCAGCACTTTGGTAGGCTGAGGCGAGTGGATTGCCTGAGCCTGTGGGTTCGGGACCAGCCTGAGCAACTTGGCGAGACCTTGTCTCTACAATAAATAAAAAATTAGTCGGGCATGGTAGCTCGCACCTGTAGTTCCAGCTATTTGGAAGGCCGAGGTAGAAGGATCACCTGAGCCTAGCAGGTCAAGGCTGCAGTGGCCATGAGCATGCCACTGCACTCCAGCCTGGGCAACAGAGTGAGACTCCAACTCAAAAAAAAAAAAAAAAAGAAAGAAAGAAAAGAAAAGCCCTGGAGCAGATGACTTCACTGATGAATTCTACCAATCATTTAAAGAAGAACTAGATATCATTGCTTGGTGCCTCACATCTGTAATCCCGAGTCTTTGGGAGACTGCTCTAGTAGGGTCATTCGAAGCCAGGAGTTCAAGACCTGCCAGGGCAACGTAGGGAGTGCCCATGTTTACCAAAAATGAAAAAAGTAGCTGGGCATGGTGATGTACATGTGTAGTCCCAACTATTTGGGAGGCTGAGGTGGGAGGATTGCTTAGCCCAGGAATTTGAGGCTGCAGTGAGCTGTGACTGTGCCACTGCATTGCAACCTGGGCAACAGAGCTAGACCTTATCTTGAAGAAGAAGAGGAAGAAGATGAAGAAGAAAAGGAGGAGGAAGAGGAGGGGGAGAAGGAGAGGGAGAGGGAACTAACACCAATTTTTCTCAAACCTTTTCAAAAACTTGAAGAGGAGGAAACATTTTCTATCTCAGTTTATAAGGCTGACATTACCTTGATACCAAAGACAGATAGAGATACAACAAGAAAAGATATACTTTGTACAATATACTTTATGAATATTGATGCAAAAATCCTCAACAAATACTAGTAAGTTGAATTAAGCAGTATATGAAAATGGCCAAGGGAGATTGATTCTTGTAATGCCTGGATGTTTCAACACATAAAATGGATTAATATAATGCACCACATAAACAAAATGAAGGACAAGAACTACATGATAATCTTGATTGGGGCAGAAAAAGCAGTTGGCCAGATTTAAGGCTGTCACCTTAAAAACACTTAACAAAGTAGGAATGGAGGGAAGCTACCTCAACATAATAAAAGCTATAAATGAAAAATGCTCACCAAATATCACACTCAATTATAGAAAACAGAAAACATTTCTTCAAACATCAGGAACACAGCAAGGATGCCCACTTTTGTGGCTTTCACTGAACAAGATAGTGAGTGTTTCTAGCTATAGCAATTAGGCAAGAAAAGGAAATAAGAGGCATCCCAATTAGAAAGAAAGAAGAGAAATGATCTATGTTCATGGATAATGTGATCCTATATGAAGAAAAACATAAAAGTTTTACAAAAAAACTTTTATAATGTATAAACAAATTGAACAAATTAGCAGGATTTAAAATCAACACAAAAATCAGTTGCACTGCAGTATACTAACACTGAACAATCTGAAGACAAAGTCACAAAACAATCTCATTTAAAATATCATAAAAAAGAATTCAAAAAAAATTTTTTTAAATGGGAGGCTGAGGTGGAAGGATTGCCAGAGCCCAGCAGGTCGAGGCTGCAGTGGCTGGAAGCATGCCACTGCATTCCTGTCTGGGCAACAGCGAGACTCCAACTAAAAAAAAAAAAAAGCAATAAGAACTAGATATAAACTAAACCAAAGAGGTGAAAGAGTTATACAACGAAAACAACATTTTGCTGAAAGAAAATTTAAAAGACGTAAATAAATACATTATAGAATAAAATTAAGAAATTAAAGAAGACAAATAAATGAAGATTCTTCCTTTATTGTTTACAGATTGGAAGACAATATTAAAAAAAAATTTTTTTTAGAGACAGCGTATTGCTCTGTCTGCCAGGTAGGAATGCAGTGATGCAATCATAGTTCACTGTAGCCTCGAACTCCTAGGGTCAAGCAATCATTCACCTCAGCCTCCCAAATAGCCGAGGCTACAGACACACATCACTATGCCCAGCTAATTTTAAAAACCTTCTTGTAGAGACAGGATCTTATTATGTTGGCTAGGCTGGTGTCAAATTGCTCATGTCATGCAATACTCCCATCCTATCCTCCCAAAGTGTAGGGATTATAGGTATGAGATATTGCGCACAGCCTATTGTAACTTTTATATGTACTGGGTAACAAAAATTTTTTTGTGACTTATTTTATGACATTATTTGCTTTTTTTGAGATAGTCTGTATCCAAACCTGCAGTATCACTGTGGTTGTTACCTGTATCTATCCACAAGAATTAAATGGAGGGTCTCAAAGAGATATTTATGCACCTGTGATCATAGCAGCATTATTCACAGTATCCAAAATGTGGAAGCAATCCAAGTGTCCATTATTAGATGAATGGATAAATAAAACATTATTCAGCCTTAATAGGGAAAGAAGTACTGATATCTTCTACAATATAAATAAACCTTGAGGATATTATGCCAAGTGAAATAAAAAGTCACAAAAAGACGAATAGGGTATGATTCCACTAATATGATTTCCTAATAGTCAATTTCATAGAAACAGAAAATAGAGTCATGGTTGCCAGAGACTGGGGGCAAGGTAGGACTGAGGAGTTGTTGTCTAATGGGCATAGAATTTCAGGTTTGCCAGACCTGAAATCAAAGAGAGTTCAGTGGCTGGAGAGTGGTGAGGGTCCCACAACATTATTAATGTCCTTAATCACAAGGAATGATACCCTTAAAAATGGTTAAGATGGTGATTTTTAAGTTATGTGTCTTACCAGACTAAAAAAAAAAAAAAACTCTAGATGCTCAAACCAATATGATTATTTTGCTGGAAAAGGCAAAGAACATTACCTGTGCAGAAAAAAATTGATCTCCACAGGATTGGAGATATCAGTCCCTACACAATCCAAACCAAACAAATGATTATTGACAGGCTGTTAGGAATATCCTTTAAGGCCTTGGAATATTCTACCTGATAGTAGTGTCTTTGTGGATACCCGGGGCCTTTGATGCACGCAGTTTATGCCAATGATATGATTCAGGGTGAGGCCCTCAGGCTGGATCAATCTGACTTCAGGAGGGACTGGAGACAAGTAACTGAGGTTAGCCATGAAGATGCTGAAGCCTGGGTGACCAACCCCAACAATAACCCCGGACACCAGATTCAGGTGAACGTCCCTCATTAGCAATATCCTCTGCTCTGTCACACATTCTTGCTGGGAGATGTAAGCACTATCAGTAGAATGCGCTGAGGCAGGACAGCTGGAAAATTTGCCTGGTCTTTCTGGACTTTGCCCCATGAACCTTTTATCTTGACTGACTTTGATCTGTATCCTTCGCTGTAATAAACCACGACAGTGCAAACAACAGCTTTTTGAGGTCTGTGAGGTCTTTTAGCAAATCATTGCCCCTGCAGGTGGTCTTGGGGACCCCAACACACTCTCCTACCTCATTCAGAAACTGAAGCGATTACTAGCAGAGGTCTATTGTCCTTAACCCAAAGAGTCAAGACTTATGCAGGGACATTGTCAACAATCCGAGAAGCCAGAGATGAGTCTGGGGGTGACTTGAGGGTAAGTTATTTCTTTTTTTTTTGAGTTGGAGTCTCACTCTGTCGCCGAGACTGGAGTGCAGTGGCCGCTCCCGGCCACCGCAGCCTCGACCTGCTGGACTCCGGCGATCCTGCCGCCTCAGCCTTCCAAGTAGCCGGAATTACAGGTATGCGCTACCACGCCCGGCTGATTTTTAAAAAATTTATTGTAGAGATGAGGTCTCGCTGCCCAGGCGGGTCTCGAACCCGCGGGCTCAGGCAATCCACTCACCTCAGCCTCCCAGAGGTGCGGGATTACAGGCTGAGCCACCGAGCCCGGCTAACTTATTAATTTCAAAGCCTTAGTATACCCTTATCACAAGTAAAGTCACATGGCCAGGTAAGGATGGATAAGGCAGGGGGTGAGTGTTGACTTCAGGCAGGTGATAAGAATCCAACACAGTCAGGGTCTTGTCAGGGGACCGAGGCTGGACTCAGAAACGAAGTGGGAGCCACTGTACTGGTTTATTGTATCCTAGAGCCCCAAATGAGGAGAAGATAGTGGGCTTATCGCCCCTCTAGCGGGGCACAGCACAAAGTTGGTAGGGGGATGGGGTCACCATGAAGTGATAGACACCATGGTCGCTGGGCCGGGGCTGTCCAGCAGGCACTGAGAAGCTGAAGCGCTGCAGGAGGCAGGTGAAGAAGAGGAAGAGCTCCATGCGGGCCAGGGGCTCCCCGAGGCATGCCCGGCGGCCTGTGAGGGGTGAGAGGGCTCGGTGAGGCTGAGTCCTGGGCTCCTTCCCTGTAACACTCCTGGGAAGTGGACAGGGAGCCGGGAACTCCATCAGGCACCTGCTGAGAAAGGCATGAAGGCTTCTTGCTTTAGGAAGCGGCCGTGGGCATCCAGGAAGTGTTCAGGATGGAAGCGAAAAGGCTTCTCCCAGATGGCCTCATCCTTCAACACCGATGACAGGTTGGTGAAGAGCATTGTCCCCTGGACAGGAAAATCTGGTGTCAGTGAGGGCTAGACTCTAGATTATTGGAACCTCTGCCAGCAAATATATGAGGGCACACACTCTGCCTGTCGCATAACTGGATTCTTGTAAATAACCTTGGCCCAAGAAGCTTCTTGGCACCCTCTATGACCCCATGGCAGGGCAGTCACACCTTCCTGGGGCCCTCACTGCCTCCTATCCCTGCAGGCACTGGCTCCTCTAACACCTGTGGAATGCTTTGATTTGTTTTCCTCACTAGACTGGGGTTCTGCTAGCATTAAACTCCACCCAGATTGGGACAGCTGGTGCCTGTGGCATTGAGGACTGGGTGGCCTGGGTTCCTAGACTGACTCCAACTGGCAGTAGTCATGTGGGGGCCACCCCAGGCAGGGGTGAGCTTGGGTGAACTCAGATGAGCAGGAATCCAGGCCTACCTTGGGGATGAGGAAACCCTGCACTTCAGTGTCATGGGTGGTCATGTGGGGCAGACTCAGGGGAATGACGTCCCCAAAGCGCTGCACCTCGTGAATCACGGCAGTGGTGAAGGGCATGCGGGCCTGGTCAGCCATCTCTGGTCGCCGCACCTGCCCTATCACTTCATCGATCTCCTGTTGGACACGGCCTAGACAGACAAGTTTCCCCACAGTGGGTAGAATCCAGAGGGTGGGTACTGACTCCTGACTTCTGAATTGGGGTCATCCTCACCTGAGGAGGAGGTCACTCTTACAGGAACCTGGGCAATTCTGTGCTTGGAGCCACAAGTATCCCAACTAAGCTCAGGAGATCTTACCTGTACCTTTCCTTGCCTGTACCTTTCCCCTGCAGACCCCAAGCTGGCTCACGTTGCACATCCGGGTGCAGGATCATGAGCAGGAGGGCCCAGGACAGCGTGATCGAGGTGGTCACCATGCCGGCAACGAACAGGTCAGACACCACCAGGCGCATGTTCTCAGCATTGAAGCTGCTCTCAGGGTTCCCCTTGGCCTGAGCCGGGCAGAGAAGGTGGGCTCAGGACAGAGGGAGGAAGCATACAGATAACTCTCCAACTCTCTCCCTGTCAGCCCAGATGTGCCTCACTGGGTGATGCACTGACCACACCTTGGCCCCTTCTTCTCAATCCTCCTGGGACTCTCAACGCACCATCCCTGGCCAAATTCCTAGTAGCAGCTCTTCACCTTCTCCATCTCATCCAGGAAGGCATCAGTCAGGTCTTGGGGTGGCAGGACCGGGTCTCGTGTCATCCTGTGCTCAGTTACCAGCTCATCCAGTTGGGCCAGGAAGTTCCTCCTCATACGAGTGGCCTTGTTGGCCAGCCCTGGGATGCGCAGGAGCACGGGGAAAGCATTCAGCACCTGTGCCAGTCACAGAAGGGGGCCTGGTCTCTAACCTGCTCCATGTTCAGCTGGACCAATGTCATGCCCCAGCCACCTCCTGGTGTGGTCCTAAGGCCTGCCTTTCTGTCCTCTCCATTGACTTGGTTCCTTCCCAGATGCCAGCTTCCAGGCTCTCTCCTGGTCCTGAGATGCTAGAAGAAATCTAAACCCACCCTCTCCTGGGCTTGGGTGGCCTTCAGCACAGGCTCCTTGGCCTTCTCTTGGGGTTCACCCACCTCTTCCATTACTGTTGGAGATTTCTTTTTGTTGTTGTTGTTTGTTGAGTTGGAGTCTTACTCTGTTGCCCTCCTCCAGGCCTATCCTCTTCCAGTGGCCTCTCCCGGAATGCCCTTTCCCAAAACACTTTGTATGTAAATCCTCATCATTAGAGACCCAGGTGCAGGCCCTGGCATTTCCTTAGAGTCTCCCTGTCTGGACTCATGCCTGTCCTTCTAATCCCCGCACCGCACCGTGAGTAGGACGCTGCTCTCCTCCTTCATAGTGGCCTCCATGAGGTCCAATATCCTGAGCAAGAGCGGGTCGTCGTACTCGAAGCGGCGCCCGTAGGTGAGGCAGGCGATCACGTTGCTCAACGCTCTGTCCAGGAGGGCGTTCGGGGTAAAGGGACGGCCTGGGAGCAGAGGACGTGAGTCAGGGGGTCTCCATCCCGAGTCCCCCGACTCCCCAATTCCCGCCTCATGCCCCTCCGGGCATCACCCACCGTCGTGGTCCGCGAAGGCGGCACAGAGGCAGGAGGCCTCCTCGGTCACCCATTGCTCCAGCGACCTCTTGCCCAGGCCGAAGTTGCGCAGGGTGGATACGGAGAAGCGCCGCTGCTCGCGCCAGGCGGGCCCGTAGCGCGCCATGAAAATTCCTGGGGGGGGGGGGATCGCGTGGGCGTGGCCAAATAGACCCTGGCCCCGCCCTCTGCACCAACCCTTTGACTCCCTCCTCTTTGAAGACCCGCGCAGTCACAGTTCCTTCAAGAATGTTCCCACCCCCTCTGAGCTCCGCGCTCCCTCTGTCCCTCGACGGTCCCCACCCCTCTGAGAACAGTCCCCGCCCACTGTGTTCCCCTCCTTCTTGGAGCACAGGCCCTACCCGGACCCACCTGTTTCCCTCCCACTGTGCGTCCAGGCTCCGCCCTTGGCCCCGCCCACACCCTTCCCTTTCGCCCCCGGCCCTTAGGCTCCTTTCTCTACCCACCGTCCCTGTCTTCGCTGGATTTTTCTTCACCGTCCCCCCTCACGTCCAAGTCTCCCCTCCCGTTAGGCCCTGCCCTGCCTCCGGTCACCGTCCGCCCAGGTCCCGCTGGGCCGGGGTCTCCGTCGCCACCGCCTCCTACCTTGGGAGCGCGGCCCGTAGCCCACGTGTTCAAAAATGGGCACCGGCATGCGGTCCGCCGTGTCCTCCGCGCGCGTCACCAGCGCCTCGCGCACGGCCGCCAGCCCGTTGAACACAACCACCGGCGTCCAGCCCAGCTGCAGACTGAACACGTCCCCGAAGCGGCGCCTCAGCTGCAGGCGGAGGGTCAGGGCGTCAGCCAGGCTGGGAATGCAGTCAGGAGTTCTGGGGGATCCCTGGCGGCCGGTAGTGAGACTGTGCCTGGAGGAGACCTGGCCTCATTTTGCTAGGGAGGGGGTCACTGCCTCCTCACCCAGCTATGACTTGCAGAAGTCACCGAAATGACCAGCAGACCTTAGGTAGCATCCCATTTTACAGAACAGGAAACAGGTTTACAGAATTTAGAAGTGCGGCCCAAGGACCCACAGCCGCAAAAGATTTGAACCTGGTCACTGCATCTCTCTTGACCTCGATTTCTTGATGTAAATGGTGTTCAGGGCCAGGCGCTGTGGCTGAGCCTATACTCCCAGCACTTTGGGAGGACTAAGCAGGAGGATCACTTGAGCCCAGAAATTTAGGACTACTCTAGGCAACATAGCAAGAACCTCATCTATACAAAATAATAATAATGATAATAATAGTAATAGTAATAATGAGCTAGATGTAGTGGCATGTGCCTGTAGTTCCAGCTACTCTCTACTCTGGATCTTGAGGTGGAAGGATTGAATGAGCCTAGGAGGTCGAGGCTGTAGTGAGTAGCAATCATGCCAATGCACTCCGTCTGGGTGACAGAGTGAGACTCATACTCAATAATGAAAGTAAAAAAAAAAAGATAGAGCTCAGGAACTTGGCTCCTGTTCCATTCCCAAGACCTTTCCTTCTAATGTAATCAGAAGGGACACGGGGTTTCATAACTTGCATGCCGTCTTTCCTTCTAATGTAATCAGAAGGGACACGGGGTTTCATAACTTGCATGCTGTCTTTCCTTCTAATGCAATCAGAAGGGACACGGGGTTTCATAACTTGCATGCTGTCCAACTGACTTGAAAACTCAGTGCCAAGTCCCATTCTACCTCCAGGTCTTTGCCCTTCTAGACCTCGGGTTCAGAAAATGTACTGTCCTTCGGGTCCTGCACAAATGTCCTCCCCCAAGAAGCTTCTGAAACCTCCTTCCTTTTCTAGGACCAGTTCCCTGTCCAGCCTGTGGCTATACCCACCACCCACATCTGTTGCTGGGGGGAGGGGATTTCCCAGGACCTCTGTTGTCCTGCATCACCTCTTCCCTCACCTGACTGAAGCAGTATGGCAAGTTCTGGAAGTCCACATGCAGCAGGTTTCCTACCCCGGGCAGTGGTATGGGGCCTGGTGGGTAGCGTGCAGCCCAGTGTTGGCGCCTGTGCATCAGGTCCACCAGGAGCAGGAAGATGGCCACAGCCACGGCCAGGGGTGTCAGTGTATTCTCTGTCAGCAACCCCATGGTTGCCTCTCTGCCTACTGGGCTCCTTTGATGACACTTGGCACCACCAGGAACAGAGGACCAGGCAGAACACAGCACATTCTGACTGCTCGACTAGCCTGATTTGTTCCCTTATAAAGGGAAGTGACACTGACCTTTGCCTCCTACTGTTTGGTGACTGTACTGCCAAGGATACAGGGCCAGGGCAGGGCTTGGATGAGGCAGCTCCAGAGTACCTTGCCCCTGCTGCCTGCTCCAGGTACTTACCCTGGGCAGGGCAGTGGAGAGGACCAAGCAGATGTCACCCTTTCTCCTTACTTCTGACCTTCCAGCTCTGTACCGGCTTCTGGGATAACCATGGTCTGACTTGACTCTTCCACACAGCTCCCCACAAGGCCTACACTTCCTAATATGGTTACTGTTAGGGTACAGACGGACCTGGTGAGGGTGGAGAGTCGAGAAAGAAGGCGCGCAGCACTGTCGGGGCTGGCAAGCTGGAGGTGCGTGCTGGGAACCCAGAGATCCGAGTAAATGCAAAGAATTGCAACACACAGAGATGAGAGAAGAAAAGATTTATTTAAGAAAAGTTCACCCCCCACAGATAGGGAGTGGGCCTACACTCTAGG